TAATGTCATTCTTACTCTAAGGTTGAATAACTATGAGACCATTAATGTTAAGAATGAATTTTGTCCAGTGATTTACAGTAAGTAAATAAGTATTATACAGTAAGTATGCTACAGTGAGTAGTATAGCCAGTGTTAAAAACTATATTCACAAAAATCTGCACTCTAAATATGATTTATCATCCCATAATGTAAGTAACGTGGACTTCTTAAAACAAAACAAACAACCAAACAACAAAAAAAAACTGGAAAACAACCAAAAAAACTACCAGCCACAAAAAGGCACAGGTCTCCTGGACAGCAGACCTTGGCTATACTGTTGGAGCATATACATACACAGATAGGTGTGTAATTAAAGGTTCTGAAATGGTTTAAATTTCCTTTTAAAAAATGGCAGTATGCTATGTTTTCTCTTTTTGTTACGTGGAAAATAATAGAAGTTTAAAAAAATCCCTTCACAGAAAATAAAAATATTTTTTCTCATGAAAACAATATCATAGAAAAATGCAACCAAAGCCTCTGTTTTTTTAAATCCCTGATTGAGTTAAAAGATAGAGCCATTTTATTAACACTGAGAATAGGCTTAGGTACTTTGCTGAATAGGAATGGAAGTAAGCATATGTTTTAAATTAGTCACATGCATAAATGCTGTCTTGAACCAGAGCAAAGCAGCATTTGGCATTAGAGAAAGCAATTTTCTGCAACAAAAGTTAAATTCAGTCTTTAAATTTTAGTGGCTCTGATTGACCTTTTCTTTCATGATAGCCTACATTATTCTTCATTGTCTAAAATTATCAATTCATATCTGGTTAATGGAAAAATGCTTGATGCCCTTGGAAATATCTTCTATGTTAAAAAAAAAGTTATTTTTTTAATAATAGTTGAAAGTGTATTATATTTCCTGAGTCATAGGTATCATAAATCAAACCCAGAGCCCCATTTCTTTTCCCAAACTACATGTAGAAATTTGTAATTCCACTCCCAGCCCTCTATATGTGTTTTTGCATAATTTTTACTCTAACCACTGAAAAGTGTCCATAAAATAAATTGCAATGTTGAATTGCTGCGTTGGATAATCTGTGAGGAAACTGTCAGTTTTTTTCTGACATTTCTCAAGAGATTCCAATGTCACAAACAGCAAGGAGGGTTAGAATAATGGTATTAGCCTTCAAACTGATTATTAATGTGTAACGCTTATTTCATTTAAAATGGCATCCCATGGAGGCTGACACATCTAACACATGATCTTCAGTTACTTGCCCCCGTGATGGGAATAACTTATTGCAACCATGGAATATTTGGTATGTTGTCCTAAAAGGTGAAGGTGGAAAATCTCTCTTGGAGGAGGCATTGCCTGCATTTTCCGTGACTTTTCAGACAGTTGCATGCATCTGCAAGCATTTATGAGATACACATCCTGCTTTATATCAAAACTGGTGAGATCCACTTAGAAACTTCTGCAAGTTGCACTGAAATCCAAATTTTTGTCTACCTTCAGTATTAGCATTAGATTATATATTTAAGCTAGTATCCTTATTCAGCAATACCAGCTGTTAAAATGAAGGTAATGCAAAGATGCTGTGCGTACTGCCTGGCATTTTCCTGCCATGGTCATGCAGTTAGCTGCTTTAAACACATTCATGTCATGAATGTTAAAAGGGATGGGTTTATCTTTACCATTGATTTAATTCCGATTCTCAGGGGAACATTTAGCTACGTTAGTAGCTTTTTCATTGTGATATTATAATTTGGTGTACAGTAACACAAAATCCTTCCACATCATCTGGAAGACTCCTGTACCAGCCAAGCCTTCCTGGTCGGAGTATCAGTGGCATTTTACCAGGGGAAGACCTAAATACGAAGTGTGGTTTGTGATGCCCTGGCGGGATCAGGTCTTATTCTACAACACAAAAATTTCACTTTCTGTTCCCTACGTGAGATGAAATATGAGCCATACGCCACAAACCACAAAGTATGGTTAACACAACTTCTTCAAGTATTATTTCAAAATAATTTTGTTTCCACACCTGATCACTTTACCAGAGTACGTTTTTTCTGTAATCAGTTTTAAATTTGTTATTTCTCTTTTAATTCACAAATCCAGTTTTATTTTACTGTGGGGAAAAGGGAACAGAAAACATTAAGACCAGAAAAATCTATTAAATTTTAACTCTCAGTTTATCTCTCCACTTCCTTCTACACCTTTCTCTCTAAAAATAGGAGTTTTCTTCTTTATTTAACTGATGCATTGACAACGTTTAGTTGATATCCCAGAAGAGAAACTTTTCCATGAGTAAGTTTATTTTTAATACCCGAATAAATAACATTTGACAGTCAGGTTGTTTTTAGAAATATTTCCTTTACATCATATTTATGATGATGACTTCCTAGTCCTTTTATGCAGTTTCACAAGGTTTTTCTTTCTCTTCCTGAGTTCTCCTTACTCTTTTTTTTTTTTTCCTAGTTTTGACCCAAATTGTTATGGTATTTAGTTTTGAAAAATACCTCGTATGTGATGTTTGAAAAGTATGGAATGGGGCTGAGATTTCCATACACAGAGAAATATTTCTTTGTTGTTTGACATTTACGCAACAGAGGGGGAGTAGTTACTACTGATGTACAACTGAAGCTGATACAGCAGAAAATAATATTCCTGCACTACCCGTCCCTACCCAGGATGATTATTTTCTGCTGCATCAGCTTTAACATCAGGCACCAACGTGCCAGCATTAGGCCAACATAGGAGCTTCTGGCAAGGTCAAATTCTGAATGCCTTGTTACCTTCTGGGTTTAGGATCATTACTTAAATTTTGTGTGGTTTTTGTTTGCTATTTTTATTTTGGGGTGTCTTTTTCACTTAAAATAGACATGAAACAGATGGGGTTTTTTTCCAGAACTGCATTCTGTGTTACATGGGGAACAGATGGGTTTTTTTTCCAGAACTGCATTCTGTGTTACATGCCATTTTTATGGAAGCTCTCTAACTAACGGGCATCTTACTTTTTTATCAGAAGTTACAGCAAAATGGCATGTATTATTTAGACAGATGGGAATGGAAAATAGGTACCTCAGCTTGGCTGGTCTGGGGATTAAGGAGTGAATAATGCTTTGAAGGGCAGGGGTTTGTGACAAATTCAAGATTAACTGTTTCAAATGAAAAGCATAGAACTATTCCATTATTCATCAATGAGTTGGAACTAAGAGCTCTACAACTTTCCCACATTCTGTCCTTTTAAAAAAATATTTTTTCATTACTATCTTACCCATTTTCCGCCCCATGCAATGGTCAGTATCTCTTCTGCTTCGTGACAAATTCAAGATTAACTGTTTCAAATGAAAAGCATAGAACTATTCCATTATTCATCAATGAGTTGGAACTAAGAGCTCTACAACTTTCCCACATTCTGTCCTTTTAAAAAAATATTTTTTCATTATTATCTTACCCCATGCAATGGTCAGTATCTCTTCTGCTTCTTTGCTTCTTGTCTTTTTATGTTTTTTTCAGGAGAGCATGACTGTCATGAGTGGACCTACCTGAAGAGAACATTAGTATTGCTTTTGGGGGCAATTGCACTTGCTTGGGAAGAGAGAGATCTGTAGGTTGTAGGGTGGGATGAATGGACATAGGTGAGAGATCTGAAGGAGAGTGGGGAATACAGCATTGCAGAGAGCAGACGCACAATCTGGTTTCTGTATCTCTCAAAAGCAAAATTTTCTAGAGACCGAGCTGCGTATGCTACAACAATGAATGTCACCAACGGCAGAAAAAAGAACCTGCTATAAAGACATAAGGGCTGAAAGAACTACATATACTTGAATAAGGGCTACCAGGACACTATTTTGTCCAGTCTAGATATATCAAGCTTTTTTCTGTGTGAATACGGACTTATTGTAATACATACCTGAAAAGTCGGGTCTAACAAAACATGATTTTTATGGTTAGAAATGCTTTTGGACCTCTGAGAACATTTGCTGTAGGGGAAAGATCCAGGCAGATCCTCCTTAAAATTCTGGGGTGTTTGGGGTCCTGTCACATGTAATTTTATGACTCACAAAACATTTGCTTTAGTATATTAGCAATGTGAATCTCAGATTAGTTTACTGAACAGCTAGGTTACATTTATCCCATATGTTGAAATAATCTGTATTTCAGTAGATTTTTGAGTGAAACTTACACAGAACTGGAACTGCAAGACTATTGAAATATTTACTAGTCAAACACTTGATGGCTGGGTGGCATATTTTTATGAAGCTTTCATAGCTTTCTCTCTATTTACCCGTTTATTGTCCCCCATCCCCATGTTTTGTGGTATGCTTTTTTGTTAATATATAAATTAAAAAAATATTGTGCTTGATATTTTAATGAAACATTAATGGGCTTTTTTGAGAAAGCTGGGACAAATATAACATTGCAAATTAAAATTTAAATTGTAAATTCTTTCTCAGCCTTTCGAGCTTTATCCAGACAAAGTAAACTAAGTTGCCAATATTCTTTTTATACCGATATTCTGTTAAATCTACTGCAGAAATCACATCTATCTGAAAACCATAATTAGAGATTCATTCCTAAACATACTTCTATGAAGAAGAGGTACAAACATCTCAAAGCTACCAAGAGAAGACAACACAGCATGATATATTTAACAACTACTGGAAAAAAAAGTTTAAAGGGGGAAAATACATTCCATGGCTAGAAATCTATTTAATGTTTAGAGAATTTGGAGAAAAGATAGAGGAATCTTCACTCCCTACTCCTATAGAAATGAAACAAGTGTAATTTTAGTGCACATTTTACTGATTCTTTTCGGGCAGTGCACACACAAAGATTATTTGTAGAAACCCAGTGAATTTTTGCTAGTACATCAGTGAGCGACAGTAATTGTGTTTTTGCTTAATGAAGTCAATCCATTACAAAGGTATAACAAAATTAAAGCTCTTCTCTAAGGACATCTTTCTTTGCCTTTAGGGTTTATGCTGTTTTCTGTGATTTTTTTTTTTTTAAGGATCATCTGTTTCAACTGGAATCGCACAAATTTGAGAGAGGACGAGGCAGGTGCCCTTTTGACCCCAGTTCTTCCTTCACCTCCATCTTAATTGGTAATGATCTTTATGTCGCAAGCTTCACGATCCTGTCAACCTGTCATTCTGAGTCTCTTTCTTCAGCACACTGAGGTGTTGTCAGTCTTCCATTGCAACCTTCCACATGTCAGACTTAATCCTCATGGTGCTGCCCACATTAATATTACTTCCCAGGCAGCGTTAACTTCAGCAGGGGTGTCTCACTGACGTGAGGAGATGTTATATGACACGTGCCATCCTGAAGAGGTAATTGATTGTTGTGTATTTTGGGAAACAATAATTTCCTGCTTTCCTTCAAAGCAAAGCAATATGTTTATATTAGTGTTTTACACCACCTGAGATAAATACACAAAATTTACTATTTTTCATCTACTGAGACGTAATCTGAGTAACAAGCATCTTAAAAATTAAAGTTAAAAATCTTAATTTAACTGTTATGATATCAAGCATTTATTGTTGATATAAATTACATCTTTTGAGATCAAAATAGTTTTTTTCCAATGCTGCCTTCTAAAAAATCTATCCAAGACTGGTGATTCTCAGTTAGAAGAGTTCATCTTATACTCAAGAGTTATAAATATAAAATTCCATCTAAGTCCTGCAGTGCCAGAAAGCTGTGCTGACAGTGCTCCTCTGTGCCTTGCTGGTAAGTGTATCACTGTAGGGCTGGGACCTTTGAAGTTGTAGATTAGCAAAACATATGTTTTTTCCATCGTAATGTTTACCTGAAAACATTTCGTGAGATCAAACAAGCACAGTCTTGGCAATATTATAGTACGTTGACTAAAAATAAACTGGAACAGCAGGTAAAGGGTAAAAGCTAGACACACTTAGGGAGTAAGAGAGTGATGTCTGGTTTTGGCAAAAATAGCATTCGAAAGGAATAGTTATTGAAAGAAAGGTGGAAAAAAAAGGCTATAGATCAAATAAATTTTCAACTTTTCAGGGATAAAAAAGTTAGAGGATTTTAGTATACTTTGCTATTTACATTTGACTTCATATCTTAAAATCAGACAGCTAAAATCTCTGATTATTAACTACAATGATATAGCTCACCCGTGGTGGTAAGGCAGTATTGGTCATGAGCGACAGATGTACTTTTACGTGGTAGTTTTATTTGTTAATTTACATTAAGAAATTACTTACAAGAAGAATCTTTACCAGTAATGCCAAATCTTTCAAATTGTAACAATTCATCAAAATATTCCCATTCATTCCCATTAAAAAAACACAGCTCAAAATCTGAACAGTTAGTGTGTTAAGAAGTCATGAAAGAATCAGAAAAAACTGCTGTATCTTGACTGACCTTCCAAAATCCATGAAGCACAGATTGTTACGCTTTTCTTCCGCCCTTATTTCTAAATTGTTTTTACAATTTTTAACAGATTCCAGCCTTAGCTCAGCCTGGGAACAAAGACTCGTCCCATGGAATTTGCTGTAGTCCTGAAACCTCATGGTCTAATTTTGAAGTCCTTCTCAACCTTTCCTCAGACAGAACTAAGTAAATAAATTAACCTGATCATGTTCCTACTGTGAGATCAATGTGAATTTTATTTTCTTAAATGGAAGCCAGATTGTCCCACTGAGCACTTCAAGACTAATGGCTAGTCCTTGTGTTTCTGGCCTATTCATTAGCTTGCCTTGATCATGGGAAGTCCTATGGATCCTCACAGTTCTATCTGCAAGAGAAATCCATTAAATGAACCCTTCCATGATAAATATTGGTCAGAGTCTTGGATATCCACTCACAAAGACTTATAAAATTAATCTCATAAAGCTGACAATTCTGTAATGTGGCAAGATTAACAGGAGAAAATAATACATTTTTATCAGATCACTGATACAACACCAAATTCACACCTTCCTCAAAACTAGTGTGACCTCTGAAAGGTATTTAGAGGCTGTTTTTCTAGGCCTCCATTGGGAATTCTATACATTCAAGCGATCATAGAATGATACTTTAAAAGCATAATAACATTCTTCAAAAAGCTTGTTATTTTATTTATGCTTTGAGACTTTTTATACTATTGAAATTAAACACTTCCAACACTTAGGAAAAATGCCGTGAAGAAGTTTGCATTCCCTCTATTCTACTGTATTCTACTAGCTTCTACTAACCAGAGACACACCTTACAGAATAAACAGAATTAATGCTGCTCCTTAGACTCCAGAATGTATATCCTTTATCTCTATAGGTGTCCATTTGAAAAGGGTAGGAGTCATAGATGCAATCACAGATAATGTTATAGGATTTTTTAATTGACATTTAAAAATGAGACTGAGACCTTCAATGCCAAGTGCATTCTGAAGGAAAGGATGCTCCTTCATTCAGCCAAGCTGATTCCAGCTCATGGTGGCCATGACCACACGACAGGAGATAACAGCTACACCATGCACCATCCAGGACTGGTCTTCCAGTCTTTTCTCCAATGCTTGGAGCTTCCCCTATTCTTCACGCACTCCAGTTTTCTTAGAAAGTGAAATCCGCTCCGGGTATGGAGCCAGCAAGGTCTTGGGGGCTGTACCCCAGAGTTGCTTCCACTGTCCCATGTAGGTTCAGCCAATGTGCATGTCCTTGAAAAGGTTTTATGCAAACCTGTTAACAAAGGCTTTCACATCCCAGCCTCCTCTTCCTCCTAACTAAACAATTCAAAATCTACTTTCACCTCTGCCACTCACATTAACACAGCAGCCTACAAAAGTGTGGCTATTGACTGAATTAGTGAGAATTAGACTAACAAGGAAACTTTTCATACCTCTGACAAAAGTATAAAAGCTTTTAAAAATGTGATCTGGAAAGACGATTTGTACCATCACTAATTAGAACCAGATTAGCTAGATTAATTTAGGAAGGAAAAGAATCCCTTGTTCTGTATCTCTTCATGTTTTTCAACACATCAGTTAAAATACCCACTTCAAGAAAACAATAGTTCGTGACTTGGCTTTAAAACTAAATATCCATGCTGTCATAAGTTTAATTACAGGTTATCTGCCCCAGTGATAAAGTAGCTTTTATTGAACATAAAAGTTCAATTTATGAACAATTATCTTTTAGCAATTTATTGTCAGCATCAGGAAACAGAATAGATGCTGGATGGCAGACAGGCTGAATAAAATGTATGTGTTTAGATAAGCTGCATATAAAACTTTTGGACTTTGATTTCTAATGAACTCTCCCATCTGCTTTCAATAGCAAAAACTATTTTTGATATCAGATCATGCACACTGATTAACACTAGACCACACTAGCTCTTGAAACCTGAGAAATTAGTTTATGTCTATGCTTTGTTACTTGCAATATATCACGATCAAACAGTATAAAATCTAAACTACATTTGAATATGTTTTTCTATCCAGGGAATCCATTCCTATAATACTTTCTGATTTTACAGTTTTAAAAGCTTCATGCATTTTTGTATTTTCAATGAACTAAATATAGACAATATTCATAGACAATGAACTAAAAGAAATACCTATTCTTTCAAAACAGAAGACAGAATACTTGAGTGACAGACAACAAATACAAATATACGGAGAAAGTTTAACAGTTAAGCAGTTAATTTGTTCTAAATTTTTTTTTCCTACTGTTAATATTACCCCATGCTAAAAATGTGAATTGGCAATCTGATTTCAGCTGTCACGTGAGTAACAACTGGCTGACAGTCAAAGAAATGCACAAAAGGTGCTGCTTTCATTCTACTCATTATGTTCTACTCCTTTATTCATAACAGAGCTAGTCCACTTTGTAGAAAGTGATATAATGGAGATTTTACACAAAAAGAGCTACTGATGAATAATAGCTTATGTTCGCATTACCTTCCAATTTGAAGCAGGTACACAAAGCATGCCAATAATAAATGAAAGAAACCCACTTCTAAGGTGGAAGCAGATGATTTATAGAAAACCCTTGTATATATTAAGTTTTTAAATTAAATTACATGTTTCAATCTGGTTTACTTTAAGGCTTGTCATCTAGAAATTCTTGGTTTTAGAAGGAAAAGTTCATATTTGAGTTTGCTAATATTTTGCTCTGAGTGAAGGGCAAAAATTAAAGTTATCTTTTAAGTGGTCCAAATTGAACTTTGATTGAAAAGAGTGCTAGCTAAAAAGTATGCATGTACCACTTGAGATAAAACTGGTTTTTGAGGTCCATGGGATTTTTTTTTTTTTTAAATAAGGAAAACAGAAAGTTTCTATTCTTGTTTTAGCAGGATTAAACAGGCTACATTAAAATATAAATTTCAGCAATTAATTTGCCAAATACATGTGAAACTGAGTTTAAACTGGAAGAGGGGAGGAGTGGTGAAGGTCAGTGAAATTGCTCCATTTGCAGTTGATTTTCACTGGAAGATACTGGTTTAACAGTGTGATATGTCGCAGTATAAAACCTTGCAACCAAGACAGGAGTGAGCTGATACATAGTAGTAGCTTTTCAATAGTGGAGAAAAGAGTAGAAATCTTTCCATGAGTTTTCAAACCTCAATCTCAGGTTGTATCTAAATCTAGAATTAGTCAGCGCCTGTAAAAACCTAGCAGTGTTCGGAATTTGTAACATGGATTTAAAGGATGTGCAAAAGGGTGTGAAGAAGAAAAGAGAAGATCCTTTTAATGTCAAAAGTGCAAAAGATCTCAGAATTATGTTGAATGTTCTTGTGCTGAGATCTTTGCCAGTCACACTCATCAGTATTGTCTCATCATTTTCCGTAGGCCAGGTGACCTGTCTGCTCACACTTGATATTTGTCTGATGTTTAGTTTAGTAACATGTCAGGATAAAAATCAGATTTAATTTCTGTATCTGTACAATATCTTTCATGCAACAACATCCACCCAAGACTGGAACTTCCATTTTCTTGTCCTCAGGATCTCACAGATAAAATCAGTTATAACTTCCTTGGTATATGGTAGAATGCCATATCAGCAGGTTAGTTACGTATACTGACATTTTATACCTATGTCAAACAGAAGGAATAGGCTTCATATCCAAACTTTTGAACATCTGGACTTATAAATGTTAATCCTGATCACTACCAATCATTTTCCCTGCACTGATGCATTTTCCAAGATTCTCTAGAGTGTTGAAAGGATGAAAGCATCATGTTTTGTATTACACATAATGATAATTATTAAAAAAACACCCAGTCTGAGATATTTTTCCAACAGAATTCTTAAAGGGGGATTTATGACTAAGGTAACTCATTAATTAGGATTGTGAATATTGCTTGGAACATTATTCAGACACTAGCAAATTAAGTTGTTTAAGCTGCTCTGTGTTGTTTAAAAAAGAAAGCTCTCTTAGTTTTTGGTAACCTTCACTTCTACTGACGCTATAATTTATATTAACTTTTTATTTCACTCGCCACTATTTTACACTAAGTAGCCACCATGTATTTTACAAGGCAATATCCATTCTATATACGGTGAAGCTTAAAGCAAAGCTGCACTCAGCACTGAATCAGCAGAGTTCTCTGAACCAGCCCCAGCTGCCAAACTACAAGCTTTTCAGCATCATTATTCAGAGATATGGTAGCATTCAATTCATTTATATCTCTTGAGAGAAACAAAATTCACACTTTGAGGGAGACCAACAAGCACAATTCTTGCTTTTGCTGTAACCCTTAATAACTGCCAGCAAATGTTATTTGAATGGTTCAGTCATGTTTATTTTGATTAGGGGTTAGGAAGATGTGTCACTGCAACCTCCACTCAGATTAACGACGAACCTGAAATAATTTATTTCCTTCGTCTTGTGCAGTTTAATTCCTTCTGTGTTATTTTCTAACATACGGATGCCACCTAGTGACAATAACTGCGTCTTAAATTGGGCCTAAAAAATGTCTAATCTAAGTCCACTAGGATATGAAATATATTATTCTTAATGCTGGGTCAGTAAAAGGGAATTGCCCCCATGCATAACTAAAAGGTAGAATTATTGCTGGTGTTTCACTAAAGTAAAATATATCCAATATCACAATTTTAAATGCGTCACATAGAGATAGGCTGGATTTTTGAACATATGTATAATCCAGTTGTACCCAATTACATTCAGATTTTCAACAGTTATTTGCAGTCAGCATATTTCTAATATTTTCTTGTGTTTTTTAATTTCTGAATGCTACCTAAACACTTTGAAAATGGGACCCAATTTCTGTTCCCATAAAATTTTCAGAAAATACTCATCGCCCGTTGTGCAAGAGGGATGAGATCTCAGGTCCTGTCCCTACTCTGGTGAATATTTTAAAGATATGAAAACAAGTTATTGTTGTACCAGAATAAAATAGGCTCTTTTTCTCACCTAAGCCCCTCAGCCAGCAAGTTATACCCAAAGTGAAGTTATTTCAGGTAAGGTGGAACAGTAGACTGACTGGAAAATGCCCTCAGCCTAATAAAACATGTGCTTGTTTATAGAAAACACTTTTAAGGTAGCAGGTACTGCTTCTTATCTCTCCAGCTGGGGAGATAACTGCACCCAGCCCTCCAGTATTTTCAGTATGTGCTTCACCAACGCATCTTTTTTTCAACCATGTTTTGCAAAGAGCCAAATCTGATAACTATGCTCAGGAAACACTCCCCTGTGAGGTCGAATCCACACTCCCCTGTGGATTCAGGTATGAGCTGTATCCATGCAGCGTAGCCCAAACCAGTGGTTTGGTGCAGCTATCACTGGTATTTTCCTTAACTCTGCCTCCTCTGAAACACTGCTGCTGCATTTTCATCCCATTTTCTGGCTCCTGATGTTTCTGGCTCTTCATAAACCCAACAGGTCCTTTCCAGTTCTGGGAGCAAGCAATATATTGCTGCTTATTAACAAGACCAGGGCACATCTGGAAGTGCTCAGAGCAATCCCCTGGTCAGAGTCTTTGGACCGGTGAAAATTTAGGTGCCGACAAAGGGTAGGTGTCTCTAGGGCCAGGCACTAACTGAATGACTTTGAGATCTTTGAACTTAGGTGCCTGATGTGGCAGATGTTACTGTGGCATATAGGGTTAGAGGTTAATTTAATTCCTTCAAGTTTTATGTGTGAATCTACCCCAAAGTCATTAAGTCAGTTTTGAAAATGAAGCCAAGCCCATGAATGAAATTTAAAATTCTTGTCCTCATGCTGTTCCAACTGTAAATGTTGCAGTGCTGGCAGGAAAAATACCCGTATGCTCTTTAGGATACATGTAACTTGCTGACTCATGTGCTTACCTGAATTGGAGCAAATACTAGTAAGACATGTTCATAATGCAGTTCCTGTCATATGTAATTAAATTAATAAGTAGAGCATCACCAATGTGTTTTGTTTTGGTTTTGTTTTTTTAATCTGTGGTCTGCAGGTGGTGAACTTTTTACTGGTCTCTACAGTGACTACTGGGGAAGAGATGCTGCTCTATTTCGCACCATGAATCGCATGGCCCATCTCCGAACTGAACCTGATAGTGAGCGCCTGTTGAAAGGTATGGGAAGGCGAAGAAGGAAGAACATAGAACCAGAAGTGTTTTGGATGACTAGAAAATTTCTGTTTAACCACAAACTAAAATTATATTGTTCATACATAGGTATATTCATTTGGAGATGTATTTGTTTAAACTATCTTTTTTCCACAAAAATTTTTATAAATCTCCTGCCAGGATGAACCTATTCAAACATTTCTTTTAATCACATATTGGATTTAACAAGTAGAGCTTCTAAGTTCTTCATTTTTCACTTTAAAATTTGCTTTTAATCGATAATCTGAATATTCTATACTATTTCATGATATAACAGATATAATTAAAATAATATTTTTAAATTCTTTATTTAATTAATGGGAGCTTCTAATTAGAATACAATTTCCTTTTTTCCAGATGAGATCATTTTGTCTTTATGTTGCAATAAAACAACTCAATCTTTGCAAAGTTGTGTAGTAAAAAGATGTCATGCAATAACGCACAATAACAAACATACAATGGTCATACAGTTACACGAAATAGAAAGTTAAAGCAGGTAACTTAAAGAAGAAAATTAAAATATTCCATAAGAAAGATATTGAGAAAAATCATATGCTGGGAAATTTAGAAATTGTTTCCTATTCTTCAATGTGAAATGTAAATGAATTTCAGAGAGTTGAAATTTCTGTTAAATGAAGAGTCAGAATCTTGATTTGTTTTGCTCCAAAAGTATTGTAATATTTCATCATCACAGTGATATAATTACTGCTAATGTTTGGCAAGAACAGTCACTAATTGCCTTTTATGGTGATTCATATGGTGAGCATCATCTTTTCAGTGAAAGGACATAGAAGTTTTTTCTCTCACATTTCAAGGCAGTTTTCTCAAGAAACAGAAGAAATAAAAGGGTTCTGTTGCATAAGTCCCTACATGAATCTGACCTCAGACTTGATTTAATTTTTTTTTTAAAATATGTTTATAACATGCTTAGATATACCTTAAGTCCAATACTTAGAGATTTGCTAAACTGAGTGTTTAGACTGGCTATATATGGGTAGCAACAATCAGGCGGATGTTCACAATATGAAAGTGAAATTTTTCTCCTCTCCTCTCCTCTCCTCTCCTCTCCTCTCCTCTCCTCTTCTCTCTGGAAGATTTCATTATTTTAAGTACAGAATTCTCTAAACTATGGCCTCAAACTTTGCTTTTTATTTTGTCTATATGTGAAATATAAATTCGCAGAAATAGAATATTTTAAAATGTACTTTAAAATATTTCAGAAAATTAGCAAGTGCTGCGTCAATGTCTTAAAATGCAATGACTGTTTTCACAAATAACAAGAATTTAGAAAATATTTCCATTACCCACTGCTTCTTAAGAAATCATAGTAATTGTATGAACTACATTCTCATTTAAAGAACTTGTAAAAACTTTCCTGCAATTCAGTGAGATGAAATCATTCACAGCTCTGCTTGGTGTGGGGTTAAAAGGTATACAGGTATGGACTGAAGTCTAAACTTAGGTTTCACTTTTGCAGCAAAATGTCAAAACAGGAAAAATTTAGAAGGTTTTTATTTCATGACAAAGATACACAATACATCTTCTATATTTGAAGATGTGTGTTCATATAACATCTATTAGCTGAACTATCAGAGCTTTTTCATTATCTAAAAGATTGACCAAAACTGACATTCCTACAGCTGGTTTGTATGGGATCCGAGATTGTTATGTGAATATTAGTGCCATGTTTTAGCCTAATCCCAATTAAAATATATAAACCCCAGAGAATGGGACTGGAAAAAGGTCTTTTTCTTGCACACATACAAAGGAATATTCATTTGTGAATTGGACCTATAAAAATAGTTTGACATTAATGTATTCCACATGTTCTGTAGATACCCACCCACGAAAAAATAAGTTCTTTTCCTATTTCTATCACCCTATTCCCCTTAAGTAGCTCCCTGATTTTTTCATTTTATTTTTTTCTTTGCTACCAGCTGATTTTAAGGATCTAATAAATAAGAGCATGTTTTAATAAACTTGAATAAAATTCTTTTTTGTTTTCTTTTAAAGAACCGAAATTTGTTGGCTCATACATGATTCCTGACAATGAAGACCACGATGATAACAAAGTATATTTCTTCTTCACTGAAAAAGCATTAGAGGCCGAGACAAGCACTCATGCCATATATACCAGAGTGGGACGTGTATGTGCGGTAAGATCATTTTTCTGATTCCCCAGCTAAATGAAAAAAAAAACAAAACTCCTTTCTTTGGTCCTTCTACAGGCAACTATGCCATCTATTCATATATGTGAGAATAAGCTATAGATTTGAAGGAAAACCCTACATCTAAATAACCTCAAGCATTCCAAAGCGGTCTGCAATCTGGGCTTGAAGCTGAATTTTGCTGAGAGAGGAGGGCAAAGTTCAGAAATCTTGTTACTCAACTCCATCTCTCTTTGTGCTGTTTTGCAGTACCAGAAATAGCAGTTGCCCCCAGGACTCTCTTACCACCCATATTCTCAGTTCATATCAAGGTTCCATTGCCCTTAGTGTTGGCTGTAGGCCCAGGGCCTCTTGCAGCTCTCGCAGCTGACAGCTATGTCCCCTCACATTCCTGGTGACAGGACCAGCCCAGACACCAGTCCTCGCTGATGTTCCCTCTTGCCTTCCTATTCTGTCAGCGAGGAGGAGACTTATCTCACCTGCATTTGTGGAGGATTGATGGCTATCCTATCAGCCAGCTGGCTTTTGCAACCAGCTGGACAGGAAAAGAGGTAATGGACACAGACTGAAACACATGAAATTTTATATGAATGTAAGAAAACATTTTTTACTGCCAGGGTGGTTGAACACAGGTTGCCCAGAATCTCCATTCTTGGAGATATTAAAAACCTGATTGGACACAGGTCTGAGCAACTTGCTTAAAGAAACTTTGAGCAGGGCAGTTGGCCTAGATGATCTCCAGAAGTCCTTGCTAAATTCAGCTATTCTGTGATTCTGTGGATGTTTAAAACCTCTTTCTGATGCATGAGTGATAAGAGGGGCGCGATGTCAACCATCTATAGAGTGTTTTATAAACAGTAGCTAACTACTGTTTTCATTTCATCTATCATTCTTCTTAACAGCAACCAAGGAAAATTGTGCAGATAGGAAAATAAAAGATTGAACTGCCCAGCAAATTATTATTGCAGCCAGGCATAAGGTTTACCAGAAGGAGCAGAAAAGTCGTGAGGAGACACCTTTCTTCCCCCCACTACCCTACATGATTACCCATTTCCCACTCAGAGCATGTTCCTGGTATGTTGATCCCATCTCTTTTTGGCTCCCTGGCCCCACACACAGGAAGGAGATCTCAGGCAGTTGCTGAAGATCACTGTTAACATATGATCTCCCAGATTTAGTTGTCCATAATTAGTCCTCTCTGAACATCTGATGATATTTGGGTGCATTCCCTTTCTAGTAAATAAATTACGGTAAGGCTGATAAGAGGAGCTCTCCCATTCCCATTGGGACTGTATCTGCTTGATTAAAGGAAGGAATGAGGAGTTTATTTTTTAGCATCTTCATTAGTTTCTGAAAAAAATTGCATTCTTCCCTCCTAACTGTAGCGGACATATTCCTGAAACTATTGGGCAAAAAGCAAGATACAAGTTAAAAATCTCCTGTCACCTCAATTTACAGCATATGTCACGTATGCTCACCAGCATATTACCTATTAAAAGTTCTTAATGAGTATTCATATATAAATTAAAATATCTCAATTATGCAAAATACCGAATTGCAGCCTAAGACATTAATGTTCGCAAAGCCTGTTGCCTTTCTGAATTCAAGATTGCATCAAGATCTGAAGTAGAATTTTTTGGCCCATGTTCTGGTAGATGTCTGGATAGATTATTTTAATAGTTCCTTTAGTCTGAAATATATCCACCTAAATGTCTTATCTCTAGTCACAGGTTAAACCAAAATCACACAGACCTTTCTCTTCCACTTGTCCAAAACTCCAATGCTTTATCATCTGGACATTAACTTCACATCCATATGCTATAATTCAAATTTGATTTAATGAATACCAAAACTAGCTAGCTGGTGATTCAAGAACTGGGTTTTTTTTCCAGCTTTCACATTTTCATCTGAGCTGTGACAACTTTTGCAACACAGAGGCTCTCTTTTTGTAAGACCTCAATGCAAAGCTGAGGAAATAAATTAATTTCAGTAGCTTAGAGTGAAGTTGTGAGAGGAGATTTGCAAGCCTAATACAGAGCCTTCAACAGTCAGATTCACAGTCTATCTGAATATAAGGCCATAACTTTGAGGAGGCTACCGAAAAGTTTGTGTCCAATTACTAAAGGGTACTAAACGCCTCCTTTGATTGCCAGTCCGACAGCCACAACAGCAAGGAAAAGATGAGATAGCCATAGCAAAGCAGGAATTATTTAACGTTGTTGAGTAATTGTTAGAACACTGTGTAGACAATTGCCTCAGACTTGCCCCAGCTGTACCAGCTCTATAGATGGATTCAGGGCTTCAGTTTCCAAATGTGTTGGTCTAACCCTGCACTGAGCTCCTAAAGCAAAGCTGAACTTTGCTAATGTACCCAGCACATCCAGTTAACAAAATCAGAAACAAAAAAGCTTTACAACAGCTGTGTCATCAAAACTACCCATGGATGTGGTACAGAATTAAAAAATTCTTATAAACCCGCAGCTCTTAATGAGACCTGGACTTGATCAGTGCAATCCTACTTGAAAACTGACTCCAGAGAAATAATACTAGTGATAGACATGTGGTTTGAAAATGCATGCTTTGGACATTAAAAGATACAATAAGCAGCTAATTCAGCAGAGATGTTTGTGCTTCTAGACTTACTCATTCAAATTACCATCAGCATTTGTTTCTTTCTATGCAGAATGATATGGGAGGCCAGCGAATGCTGGTGAATAAATGGAGCACTTTCCTCAAAACCAGGCTAGTTTGCTCTGTGCCGGGGAGGAATGGAATTGATACGCATTTTGATGAATTAGGTAAATAACCTAGACTGCAACAAACTTAAAACCATCATACAAAGTATATACTTTCATCATAACACGTCTTACTGTCAAATATTGTACTTGTAGTCATGAACAGGGAATGGTTGTTTATAGTTTGTTTCCAATGTATACAAAGTTCTATATGTATGGAGCTGACTATCGTCAATTATGCCTTTACTTATTACATTGTTTTTAAAGATTGTTTTTAATATCTGCATAAAATTAAATAACATAAGTAAAATAGGATTACACTTTTCAATTAATTTTCTCTTTTGGGGCTGAGAAAAGTAGTTTGCTAACAGTAATATTGCATTTACATTTTACAGAGGATGTGTTTTTGCTGCAAACCCGTGATAACAAAAATCCAGTGATATTTGGCCTCTTCAACACCACAAGGTAAACAACTAGAAGAAATCGTAGCAGAAGCAGAGGAATGTTTGAACAGCCTATTGAAGAGATAGAAGCTGCATGATAAATATCCCTTAGCAAATACCTAGTAAACAGTTTAATCCCTGTTCTGTTCACAATGGGCTTCCTTGTTAATGTAAAAACTGCTCTATGACACTCGGGGGCTTGCAGTCTCATGCAGTGATCCAGTCTATCTGGATCATAAATTAATTAAATGTTTCTCTGCTTGAAAATTTCCTAGTGTCAAAGTACATGCCCTCCTGCACGCTTAGAGGAGCAGTCTATCAGAGCCACCTGTCTTCCTTGCAGAGCTCCACTGTAATTCAAGTTTAAGTAGATAACAGCTTAAACTCCTACTGGTCCCTATGTTGCTGGTGGCCTCCTTTTCCACTGCAGTCTAGCTCAAGTGCAAACACACAGTACCTGTTTCTTGGAGATCCAACTGTAAATTTAGAATGTAACTGGCAGAGAAGAGTAGCTGTGCTTTTGCCACTGTTTCACTCTCCTGATTTTTTTTTTTTGGTGGTTTGTTTTTTTTTAATAAAGCAAGGCAGATCTGGTCCTTTAGGGATGCAGGCACCTAGCATTTCCTACTGGTTCCCTATGCCAGTAGAGAAAGGTATGCACCTAATGAAAATGATCTGAATCACCTTCTGGAGTCTTCAGAGATAATTTCTTTTTAGAAAGCACTGGCGCTTCTTTAAAAAATAATTAATTGCTTCTCCGGAACTAAATGAATGATATTTAAAAGCAAAATGATACTTTTTTTGTGGATTGATCTACATAGAATGATCTTGATTGTCTAACTAATAACACCAACCAACATCCCACTCAATATAAAAAGAGTCTGTTCATTTCAGGATGATCACATCCAACATTGGATGATTCCTATTGTTCCAAAGTAATAACAACAACAAAAATCTTAGAGGAAAAAAATGGTTAATTGTTTAAGTCATTAATCAAAGACATATAAGACCCGAGTTCAGTTCACTGTACTTCCTCTGTGTTTACAAACAAGTAATTTAGAGCCCGTGTTCACCATCTTCAAATTTTGAGATAACAACACAAAGCTGCCTCAGAGAAATGCTATAAATATAAATATATTAAAGAATTTGTAAAGAACATTGGACACAGCAGTTTTAAGAAAAGCATATACAATAAGTATTTTTTCTCCCTGAATACTGTTAAAATGTGTCTTATTTTTAATGACACAATAATACCAGTATTATTATGTACAGAATGTGACATATTGCTTTAATAATGTATTCAAATTTTACATCATAGCAATATATTTAGAGGATATGCTATATGTGTTTACCACATGGCAAGTGTCCGAGCAGCTTTCAATGGACCGTATGCTCATAAAGAAGGACCAGAATACCACTGGGCTCTATATGAAGGAAAAGTACCTTATCCTAGACCTGGTTCAGTAAGTATAATCTCTTTTCCTTTGTTTTGCTATGTAAACGAATTTGGGAAGAAAAAACAGACTGCTGCTAATGTACAAATCTTCCTGACTTCACAGTCCAGGATATATTTATTTGAATATATACATACTCTAGCATTTCTGGAAAAGTGTGGAATGGCTCAGCAATAAGTTTAATCAAGTACTAAACCCATACATTTCCCAACAGAAAATAGTGGAATTAAGTATATAAGGTTTTTCACAATTCTATTGGGAACTGAATTTAGCAACGTTGCGTTAAGGTCCCAAGGTCCAAAAGTTGGGATCCCAGGCAACAGGGGTAGAAAGAGGCACCTCTAGAAAGTGTGCTCAGAGCAGTAAGTGCATTACCTGGGAAGGAACCTCACTTTCTGTTGAGCCTGGAATAATTGTTCTTCTAAATTTGGCTGCTGACATATTTTTTGCATGTGAATTTTGATAACTTCTCTTGAAGTTTTTGATCTCCTATATTGACCTCCTTCTCTGGACAGCTTCAAAACCCGATGGGACACGTTCCTGTGCAATCTGCCCAAGGTGATCCTGCCTTGGCAGGAGGGTTGGACCAGATGATCATCAGAGGTCCTTTGCAACCCCTACCATTCTGTGATTCTGTGACTCTGTGAACTTTAATCTAATTGTCAAAGAAATAAATGAAAAATCAAATTCATATAAGTGCATTGAGTGAACCGTGAAGTTTTTTTCTAATGGAACTTTCTGGACAACAAATTGTCCCTACTAAATTGATGAGAAAATAAAGCCAAGATGAACTAGAAACATGTAACTATATTTACATTTTTTAAAAATATATTGAAGATACATGCAATATTTTCCAATGTAAATATAATTATTACTGTAAAAAACAAGCTTACACAAAGCAATTCACTTTCCTTCTATTGCCTGCTGAAACCAGGGCATTTAACAAGTGTTAAAGGAAGAAAGAAAAAAAAGATGATCCACAATATCAAGATCAGGTGGTTCTGGTTCCTTTTTTTCATCTCTTTTTCACAAAGGATCAAATTTTAATATTTTCATAATTTAGAAATGAGGCATACATTTTAACAAAAGTAACTAATCAGAATAAACAAGTTTGTAGGTAAGGAGTAAATCCTCCATCACCTGAGATCCTTCTCTCAACACAGGTTCTTTCTAGCAGCATGGTCTAGCACCCTCATTCATTAGTTTCCTTTCAGACATCAGCGAAGGAGATTTTATTACCCTCAAATCAGGTTCCTGAGCTTATTAGCATTTTTGTTCTGTACCCTTTACAAAGAATATAGAAATATTAAAACAACGTTGCAAAGAACAAAACTTAGCAAAATCACTCTGGCTTTTTGCTCATTTAGACACAAGTTTCTTTACACTTTTTTTTTCATTGGACATTAAGTGAAAAAAAGAAATGACATATTTCAAAAATGCAATTAAACTGGCAACTATTGTAGCATTCTCTGACACTATACAGGTGCTGTCATGCAGAGAGTTTTTCCTGCCTGACACTTAAATTTTTCATTTGGTAAATAGAAATTCTGGAGGAAATCACAAACTTATTACTTAGAGAGAGGTAATTAATTTTTACAAGGAATTCCTAATTTCTATGTTGATTTCTCAAAGACATCACAAGCAATCTTCATCAGAAACCCTTTTCCTGTTTCACTCTCTTTTTAGGTGTTTCCAAAGTTTCTGTCCCTGTAGTATCTTGGCCCCAGACTCTCACATCCCAGCTCGGGGGTGAGGGGAGCGGTCCCTGTCAGCGCGGCTCGAGGGTGCCCTTTGCATTGCAAGAGCCCATCAGCATCTCACAGAAAAGGCACAACAAGGGCTTCCCTCAGCTTCCCCTTCCTGCTGCAAGTCGGGAGGACACCCACAGCAGGCAATGCCAGGCTAACCCAGAGAAGCATCACATCCAGGATTTCTTCTTCGCCCATACTTTTTGGGACTACAACTACTCACCCACCCATGGCAATTGTCATGTGCTGCAAAGATGCTTTTCTTTACACTCACTGAAGATCTACCCCTTATCATGTCAGCATTGTGCAGATTTTTGACTCTGTGAGCTGCAAAGACATTTCTAATAGCTGTTTGACTAAAAACCCCCACAGTTTTCATACTTCACCTCTTTATCGCAGGCTAGGGGTTCAGTTCCTTGAGCTTAATGCTGGTATAAACAGTTGCTGGAGCATTACTTTCAATGTTGTTTTTCCTTTGCTAACTAAATCAATATTCTCTTTAATAGTAAAAGGAATCACTTCCAGAATTAAACATTGCATACAACTCATTTATCACTGAACCACAGGAATCAGAGGTGAAAAGGCCTATTAGCTTATCTAGTCCATGCCAGTACAGCCTTTTTCCCTGTAGTATGATTTTGAATGCATGTCCTCTCTCAGTTTAAATTAATGTTTTCCTCTCCTTCTCTTGGGGTTAGAGACATATGTCAAAATGCAGAATTGGATGCTTCAACAAAGAGAGTATCTGTTTAAATACAAACATTATGACTATGATTTGACCATCTTGGCCAATAAGCTATCACTGTGGCAGTGCTGACACCAATACCAAATTTTTTTTCACTCTTTGATGAAGATCAAAGTCATTGGTATTGAGTCAGGTTAGAAAAACAGACAAGTAAATTATCACATTTTGAAAAAAATGGTTGAATTCAAAGGAATTATTGGTTTCCTATTTGACATTTTGTGTAGCAAAATTACAGTTTTAGCAGTTTTACTAAATAATGAGACTGTACCATGCATGATTGCAGAATGGTCTATGTTTTACAAAGATGATATGGTCCAAGTTCTTTAAGTGGTATCCTTTTTTTCTTTCCAGGCAGTAGAATATCTCACATGTGTTACTTGGACTAGCATTAAACATGGGCATAAATTCAGTATTAAGGACTACAGTGATTAAATTGATGTCTCCTAGCACTGAAGATTAAATCATAGAATCATAGAAACATAAAAACATAGAATAATTTGGGTTGGAAGGGACCATTAATCTAGTCCAATGCCCCCTGCCATGAGCAGGGACATCTGCAACTAGACCAGGTTGCTCAGAGCCCTGCCCAACCTGACCTGGAATGTTCCCAGGGATGAGGCATCTACCACCTCTCTGGGCAACCTGGGCCAGGGTTTCACCACTCTCATGATCAGAAATTTCTTCCTTATGTGTAGTCTGAATCTACCCTCTTTTAGTTTAAAACCGTTACCCCTTGTCCTATTGCAACAGACCCTGCTAAAAAGTCTGTCCCCATCTTTCTCATAAGCCCCTTTAAGTCCTGGCCAGCTGCAATAAAGTCTCCCCGGAGCCTTCTCTTCTCCAGGCTGACCAACCCCAACTCTCTCAGCCTGTCCTCACAGCAGAGCTGTTCCATCCCTTGGATCATTTTTGGATCCGCTCCAACAGGTCCATGGCTTTCCTGTGCTGAGGGCTCCATTGCTGGATGCAGGACTCCTGGTGGGGTCTCACCAGAGTGGAGTAGAGGGGCAGAATTGTGGTTTTTTGGTGAGAAGCAGAGAACACTGAACAACACTTCAGCAAATCTGACAATGATTTATAGAAAGGCTGCCCTGAGTTCTTTCAGTGTTTCTCTACCTTGACTCTGAATGGCCACATTTGGGTCAGACTGGATTGCACCATCCCAATACGCAAGGCATAGGATCTGAAAGAGACACAAAAGAGTGCAAGTAATTTTCCCAATGTCATGGAACAAGTTAGTTGAGGAACCAGGTCTTTCCTGGGTGTTAGTTGGTTTAATCAAGTTTGTCTCTATATGTTGCAGAGGACATCAGAGGCTGAAGTAGCTGGCTCTGCCAGCTCTGGCTCTGCTACTAATTCATTCATTTTTGTCTGCTCATTTAGGGCACAGTTTAGAGGTCTTTTCAATGCTTTTCCAGTAACATGAAGAGAAAGCATGTTTCGGGCTGTAGCCTGCAGCGTTAGGTTTCACACACCAAAGGTCAGCATATTGGTAAACTGAATCCCACCACCTTTCCCATTACAGGAGTGACAGTGACAAGAGGCCAAAAATAACCTACTATTAGGCATCTCTCAGAGTCAGCACTCTTTGATCTTAACTATTGAATGGGCAAAGACAGAGTCTATAAGGAATAAGAGTAGAGCTTAAAGCTAAATAAACAGAAAACCACTGTTAAGAGTCACACAGGTTCTGACAGACTCTGCAGTCCTCTGGTCTCTGAAATCTGCATGAAGCACTGCTTCTGCCATAATCTCTGCTCCTGTTTTGCTGATTCTTTTAGTGCACTTGGACTGTTATGCTTCTGGGAATGACATTAATTGCCTCAAAAATGGTGTTGATAGACTTCAGAGATGGCTGCATCTACTGTTTCATTTTTAGACTACTTGATTTTATTTAATTAAAAATGAAAGGCCTGTGAAGGATTATTTTTATTAAATCTCTCCAGGGCTTGAACTTTGCAAAGGGAACCTGGCAATGCCTATTCACTTGATACGCTGCGCAGCGCATGGAAAGCAGAGGCTTAGCCTGTCTTCATGCTCCAGCTCTGCCTCTTTATTGCAAACAGCCAGTGAAATTCCATCACTAGGCTGATTAGACAATTACTTTAAAGTCAACACTGAACAAACACTTTCCTGTAGCTAAGTCCAAAGAGTGGAAACAAACATTGCCCCACTTGAGAAGTGCAGGAGTTTGTTATTGTCAATTACAGTTGACCACAAGTTTAAAATTACTGTTTCCAGTAAACATAAAAAGTATTTTATTTCATTTTATTGATTGAAAAATCTAATTTAAGTAGGGAAAGGCTGCTACTGTGGCTTTGCTTGAAATGCTTCTTAAAACCACACTGTTCTAAGAATATTTGGAGAAAGTAAACGGTTACTGAGATATTTCCAGCTTGATCATAAATGGTTTCAGTAAGACATCACAAAGCAAATTGGAAATGTAGAATCTATGTGCAGTTAAGGAACACTATATCCTTCACAAAGCATCCTAAAATTAACTTCTCTGTTTAACGCATTAAATTATCCCTAATTACACATTTGACCGAAGGAATAAGCCTCTTCTAATCAATCATTGGCATAAAGTCTATTTGTTTTGCAGAATAGTAGATTGATCAATGCAAACATTGGTATTTCAAGCTAAACTCTTATATACGCTATTGTCAATGTGAGTTAAGAATTAAAATCAAATGTAATACCGCTAGAGTGCCTGAGATCAAGAATTACTGTTGCTGCTGGCATCATTTTTAAGTGTGCTTAGTTTCTTATGGTAATACACTTTGCAATCAAAAATAATAAGACTAGAGATTGATTTCAAGCAATAGTATTCTGCTGACTTTACATGGCTGTGTCTCTACTGGGAGAGGAAACCCCTTTCTCCTAACTCTGTCAGTGGTCATTTTGATTACATCTTCAATAAGAATTTGGGGAAGACATAAGCGCTATGTTTTCTGTCAAGTTCTGAAAGTATCACTATTTATTCTGCTCTTAGTATGCCAGAGAGGAAGGAGCTCCCTCTTTCTAAACATGACAATGCCAAGAGTCTGTGCAGTATTCCCTTTCTTCACTCCTCATGGTTAATAATCCACATGTACATAAAGCATAGAGTTCACTGTCCCAATTCCTACCGTGGTCTTCTGTGCCTGTTTTTATGCCAGGTTTTCTGTAGGTTTGTCATTACCCCTGAAAACAAGGCCTGTCTCTGACAATTTATTTGGCAAACCTTCAGGATAACCTATGTTTTATGTTTCTGCAGTGTGCCAGCAAGGTGAATGGTGGCCTGTACACTACCACTAAAGATTATCCTGATGAAGCTGTCCATTTTGCCAGGACTCATCCACTGATGTATCAGCCCATCAAGCCTGTTCATAAGAGACCAATACTAGTTAAAACAGATGGAAAGTACAATCTTAAACAAATAGCAGTGGACAGAGTGGAAGCTGAAGATGGGCAATATGATGTCTTGTTTATTGGCACAGGTAAATTAAAGAAATCAAGGAAGACAATTGATTTAATAGGGATTTTTATCTCCAGGATGAATGAAATTAATTTGTGTATAGTCCAAAAAAAAGAAATCAATACAACATTTCTTTTTAACAATCATTCTTTGCATGACTCTGCTAGTCTTCACCTTACAGAGGAGATTGGTCATTCTAGACACGTGCTTCACTGCGCTGATAAAATTATATAGAAAAATAATGACAATGAAACATTTAAAGACTGGGAAGAGAAACTTAATTATAGGATTACTTTTTTTTTCTTTCCAAACAAGAAACTTAAATTAAATTCCTGAACAACTGGCTGTATTTTTAAAACTTCAGAACACAATCATGTATCTAAGCATAGTTCTGAGCTGAGACCTAGAGACCTGAGAGAAACAAATGTGACATGATTTTCAAAAATACCAATTCAAGTTACTGACTTTATTCCACAGTTTATTTTTGCCAAGTCTGGAGACTACAAGTCTAGCTGATATCATTATAAAGAAACTGCCAGCTTCCAGATTTGGGTTACAACACAGCTCAAGGAAGGAAGGAGGAAATACCCAAGTTTCTTAAAAAGAAACTCTTAGAAGTTTTATGCTAAGTTTTTTTGTCTTTCTTTTCTGTCATTTTCATAACATACAGAGAGTTTGTTTGAAGAGGATTATTAAACATCTACTAAACAAATAAGATTACGGCAAAATATATCATAGACCTGCCCTAACTCTAAGCAACCGGAGAAAAAAACACATTCTAAGGGTATTTGGAAAATAAGAAAACTTAGGAAAATAAGAGAAAAGCCTGGAAGCAAAAAATATTTTAGTCACATTTAATCTGTCTGGAAAAAATCCAAGGATGCATACATTCACATTTTATCTATTTAACAACAGGAGTGGTATCACAAATCATTTTGACCATTTTGTCTAAGAAAGCAGTTACAGTGAATTATTTTTTACTAATGAAATTCCTCTGATAAGCACATTTCAGTGTTGAGAACATTCAAAAGAAGCATGTTTGTAGAACAGCAAAGGCTTATTTATATTAGTGCTGTTTTCTAAGCCTTTAAATGGCCTCGGTATGGTCTTGATATTGGTCTATAAAACGTCGCGCTATGTGTCACTTATTTCTGTACAGCAGATATTATAATGGTGCCTATATTTTTCATATTTTCCACTTGCATTTGTGATTGAGATATTGTATCCAATACTCTTGTACACAAGTTCAGCAAAGTTGAATCCAAGGGAGCTTAAGTGTGCACTTCAGAGCCGTGCTGGACTGGCACCCAACAGCTGCTTAGTCTTCTCGTGATGTTTAATCTTAGATGTCAAGAAATTCTGGCATAGGAATTTGGGCTTTAGAAACTCTGAAACAAACCCTACAGTCCCTCCTCTGGCAAAGCTCCCATCAAAAACTCACCGCTTCTTTTGGCAATATAATGTTAGAAAGGGTTAATCTTTTTTTTTTTTTTTTTGTCCAAGTCCAACACCTGCTGTGTAACGTAAGTAAACAGGGTCTTAGAGCCGAGCAGAAGTTTCCTTAAGGTAGCAGTGCAGGTTACAAAGGTTCATCAAAGGCAAAGTCTGAATGTCAGGACTAACTTTCATGCGTCCATCAGCAGGATTCAAACAGGAATTTACTTATGAAAATCAGAGCTCAGAATGTAATTTCTTCCTACTGTTCCATCACCAAATGGACGCCTTTGATTATGTATTCTCTTTGAGAAGTAGTGTATGACCTCAGTTTAATGGTTCCTCTTTATTTATGCCCCTTTGATCTTCTGCTGAACATTTTCCCAGTGCTTGTCTCCTTAATATTTCCCCTTTAAATCAAAGGTGACTGAAAGTAACAGCAGAAAAGAAGTGATATTTGCCATTGTTGATGACAGATTTTCAGATTAAGGAAAGCAAGAGTATTCTAATAATAGTCAGCAAGCCAAAGCTGAAGTGGTGGAAGACCAGATGCTATTCGTGTGTTAATTTCCTGCAAGAGTTGTAGTGACAGAGGCTGATAAATCTAAACTCCAATGTGCCTTAGACTTTTTGAATGTGCAGCTTTTTTGGGGTTCATCTTCCTTTGATTAACACCTTCAGCTCAACAGCAGCTCAGTGTTTCCCTAGAGGAGAGCAAGAACTTCAGACAATGAATCCCTGAAGGTTTTTGTACTCTTGCCTTGAGGAATGGAGCCGCTGACAGCAATTAAGCGTAGTTAGTAGTTTCCTAACTAGTGTAAACACTCAGATCCTATAATTGAAGCTACTTTACACTCCCTTACCTTGATGGAGACAGGTCCTGCCTATTCTCATTTCTTTTTCTGAAATATGGTCACCCTCTTTGATCCTTTTGCAGCTCACCAAGGGGTTATGACCCAGAGTTTAAAAAATACAAGTCAGTTAATCGTATAACTCAGATATGTCTCAGTTGACTTTTATTTACCAGGGACAAATTGTCATATGTGTTTATTTTCTAAAAGTAAGAGCAATAACAGCAACATGCAACTACCTGTATATATTTACAAATTTCTATCCATTGTCAGGTTGAAAAGGTCATTTAATGTATTTAAAGGCCATACAAATATTTCCAACAATTATAACCTTCGTTTTGTTTTGGTTTTTGTTTTTAAATTTATTCACAGATAATGGAATTGTGTTGAAAGTCATTACAATTTACAATCAAGAGACAGAATCAATGGAAGAAGTGATTCTTGAAGAGCTGCAAGTACTCAAGGTGAACTGTGCTGTATATGAAACATATATGCAAGTCTTGAATTTTCTGCAGAATGAAAGTGTCTAAAAAATCTGAGGATAGTAAAATATATAATAATTGTATGCAAGAAATTTTCTAATGGTCTAGTTATTTTATGACAGGGAATCTTCATTTTCAACTGAAGTTTTTCTGAGGTGGATTTATAGCCCAAGTACTGAAGTACTGAAGCGTATTGCAGCAAACCAGGACTACTGACTTTCTGTTTACATGCTTGGAGCTTGTAGTGTGACTTTTAATTAGAAATGTATTACATTTAATCTAATTTTCCCTCATATACAACTAAGTTTTAAAAGAGTATAACTGCATGCATAACAATGTGCCTACTACAATCTTGGAAGCTTAAATGAAATCTGGATAAAAAAAGCCCAATCCTCAGAAAGAATAAATCAGTTAAGGAAAATCTGACATCCAGACTTAGATATTTAAATACGGTACCTGCATTTAGGCAGTGTAACTATTGACTTGTTGCCTGGGGAAAAATCACAGAAATTGTCCCGTTTGATAAAGCTGGTTTTCAATAGACCTATTAGGGGCTATGTCTTGCCACTGCTCCAGGAAATCTGAGCAGAGGGCAGAGAGGACAATGGTAAAAGAAGGAATTCCTGCTATTTTTATCTTATCTTCAATGAATGTTTTGTTATAAAGAACACTCCACTTATTACTCTCAAGTAGGACAAAAGAGATTCAGTGGTGGCAAGAGCTAATGTCATGTTTGACAGGGAAATTGTAGTGTTCCTGTGGTTCTGAAAATCCTGAATTAAGTGTTGGCCAGTTGTTTTTAAATAAACTCTGTTAAAGCAATACTTCTGAAAGTCACAATTCCCTCATCTGTTTCTGTGGCATCAGAACTTACAGAAAGTCAAAGTATCTAGCAAAGCTGAATATACTAAGTAAATATCAACACTATCTTACCTAATTTATTGTCATAGCAAAAAAGATATTCTTTTTTTCTAAGCAAGGAAATATTTCCTATTTTCTAGGAGCCAGTTCCTATTATTTCTATGGAAATCTCTTCAAAAAGGGTAAGCATTTGACAAGTTTGAAATGTGAAGATTGTGACTCAAATGTAACAAAGCTATAAATTGTATAGAGATAGACAGACACATAGATAGACAGACAGATGGATGTACATTATCTATAATGAGATCTGGTCTGATACATGTAATCCTTGTGTAAGATAAATTTCAGGTTATATGCTCTGTTCCTTTATGAAGCATTTATGTTTTTCAGTTCTAATGTTAAATCTCCTTTGTTCACACTATCATTTGTATCTAAGCAAGTAAAAACCTAATATGGTTCATGAGTTACTGGCATAGTAATCACAGTAGGGATTATCTTGGTGGATATGGCAACTCACAGAAAAGATCCTCGCTGATAAATGCAGACAGAATTCGGCCCCCTGAGGATATCAGTGCAAAAAAAGCCTTGCTGGCTCTCCCACATATTCAGTTGCCCAGGAAAGGCAGGGCTGTTTGGATGTGAATCCCTTTCGAGTTTCTGTTAGCTTCTGCTAATATAAATACCCAATTTATTACTCTTGTAGGTAGATTCTCATCTGTACCACATCACAGATACCCGTACCGTATCATTGTATCATCTCAGGATGGAGCCCTTATAAACATCACAGGATAGTTATATCTTAATAAATCTTAGAGATCTGACACAATATAGGTGCACATAAGCATAGTGAAACACAAGTAACAAAGAATGGAGAAAATTGCATTACTAAGGGGTGTGAGTGTACCCCAAATGATCATTTTAGTCTTGGTGTCCTGTCAACTTGCATTCTTTCTGTAGGTAATGTAGAAAGACAAAATCCTCTGATGGTGATTCAGAGAAAGATCTCAGGTGTAAGTATTCTGAATTATTTCCTGGATTGATCTAACTTTTTTCCCATGTGAAAATCAGGTCTGAATTGTCTAACACTGCACCTAAGTGATTATTTGAAGAAAGAATTTGGTGTCATTCCAGGTATTTGCATTACCTTTAGCTCTCAGTGAAATGTCATGGTAAAAGTGTTGTGTTGAAAGAGTAAAAAGGAGATATGATATAAAAGTGAACTAGTCATCCTCCATTACATCCAGCTCCCAAGAGGACTGCTAACACTACTAATTCAAGAAGTATCTGGCAAACTTGGAGAGAACTGTAAAAAAGCTGCCAAAGCCATCTAGTGGTTGAAGAACAAACTTTGTGAGACGTAAAAGTAGCTTAACTTTTTCAAGATATCAGAGAAAGGGCTGAGAGAGAACAGGATAGCCAGAGAGAATATTTTACCCAATGAAGTGACTTCCTAGTGTATGTCCGTAGGGATTCTTGAACATTGATAGCAAAGCGATATCAAGATTATATAGCCAAGTTCAGCTTGAAGGCAGATAAACTTAAAATTGAAAGAGGTTGCAGTTTTCTGGTACTGAAGACAATTAAATGTTGCAATACATGTTAGGTACAGGGTTGGCACCAAGTAATTTTGTCTTTAAAATGAGATCTGTAAGCAGAAGTATAACTTAGTTGAGTTTATGTGAAAAAAGTTATGTAGTCTTTCTGCTTGAACATTTTGGCTTGTCTCTTTCAACCTTAGAGTTTGTGAGCCTGTGGAGACATCCTTGCTAGTTTTGTTTCAATATCCTTATAACACTAACCAGTCTTGACTAAGTCAGCGGTACAATAAAAATATCATGTTTCAGGGATGAGTTAGTTATCTGCAAAGACTGGGAAGGAATGTTCTTCTTTGATGTTCAGTTGGCTAGATATCAGATGCTTTTTACCTTCCTCTGATGAACCAAGACCTAAAGTAGTCTTTAGCCCTTCTGAAAGATGAAAGAGAAAATCCCATCTTGTATGTCTCATTGAATATTGTTCATGTCTTCTGGGACAATCACAGCGCAGCCTTTGCAGACAAGAAAGAATTCCCCTCAAATAAGGGTCCCAGGTTTCTTCTTCATTTGGCAGATTGAGTTCCTGCTACTATCATCTGGTTTACCTCAGCTGAAAAAGTCTTCCAGCATTCCTGTTACCAGTCTCTCCTAGTTTTAAATGTCATGATTTGTGATAGGCAAACCAGTCTATATGAGCTACTTGTATTTTCCAGCTTTAAGAATTTTAAAATATCAGATTTTGGAAGCTTGGACTAAGAGTGGGAATTATGGGTTAAGTTTGTCCATTACGATAAGCACAGCTTAAAATGTTCATTAGGAATCTTTTTTCTGACTGATAAAACCATGGAAGTGAGTCGTGCATAAGCAGTTCCTGTTGCAGTACACACTGCATTTTTCTGTGTTCACTCCATTTAAATTCACCAGCAACAAGATTTTTTCTCAAATCTCAGTAAATTCAATCTATTATCTTCTGAATTTATTATGCCAGCAACTCATTAATCAGACTGATCAACTTTCACTTTGTTTGAAAAAGACATTTATGTGAACTCAGAAGGTTCAAACAGTCTTAGCACTAATGCTGAAAAAAAACCAAAACCCCCTACAAATAAATATTAAAGTAGATTGTGACCAGTTATTTGCAAGGAAGGACTGAAGAGGACCAGAAAAAAAAAAAAATCTCTCTTGTGTACTGAGGGATAATACAAATTATAATATTACTGTGCATGTGTATATATGACCATATTGTAAGTAACCACATCAAGAGCTAAATTTATATGATAACTCTCATTTTAAGATTGAGGTTGCTTATAACTTTTGCACATTAGAGCTTCTTTGTTTTTAAAGTCTTGCCTGACAAGTTTTTTTCTGCAGATCAGTGAGGTGGCAGAGAAATGTAAAGAGGGAGGCATTGGAAACTGTCTTGAGGAAGAAAAGGAAACTTAAAACCCTGCCTATTCAAACACAAAGCTTATAAAGCTGAAACTTCAGAAGCAAGGAAATACCAAAGTAAACTTGTTCATTTTACCTTCTTTCTCTCCTCTGTCCTCATGCAGGAGAGTTTAGGCTGTAGTCAGATATTCTCCTAAAGAGTAACTCTGCCTCCCTCAGGGCACAGGCTGGATGCACAACTGGCAAGCAATGCTAAAGCTAGTATTTTTTAATAATTCCATCGGTGACAGAAGTTTTCGTGGAAGTTCTAGGAATTTAATTGTACATGGTGTATTTTTTTCCAGCAACAGCTCTACATTGGATCCGAGGCGGTCATAGCACAAGTGAAGTTCCACCAGTGTGACATGTACGGCACCGCCTGTGCTGACTGCTGCCTCGCTCGAGATCCGTACTGCGCTTGGGATGGCATCTCCTGCTCCCGATACTATCCCACAGGAATGCAGGCAAAGAGGTAACAACCTCTGCTTTCTGTGATAACCTTTTTGAAAAATAGCTACTACTACAGAGTTCCTACTGCAACACAAAACTCTTCATATCTCCCCCTCATAAAAATAACTGAGCAGTAGGAAGATATGTTAGCTGCTAATTTATTAGCACAACCTTAGGGGATTGCAAAAGATCAAGATTAGCAGGATGACATAAGCTGCAGTACCAGGAATATTTTTATGAATGAAGCAAAGTCACTTAGTAATTATTTACAGTAAGTTTTAAACAAACATCAATTTCCTTATGCATCTTTTGGTGTGTAGAGGAAAGATCTTTTACAATATCAGAGACCTATTTTGGTAGTATTATACAGCAAATATATCACACTGCAATAACATATACAACAGTATTAAAAAAAAAAAAAAAGGAGAATTTCTGTTAATAGTCAAATACCTTCACCAGCCCAAATGAAACCACATTATCTGCAAAAGCTAAGGTTAGGTTTAGGCTTTCTCCAGTCAATTTATAAAGACAAGTTACTCTAGAGGCCAGTTCAAAACATTAACCTAATTTGGGTGCTTCAATTCTTCCCTTGGGGAGACTTGTCCTCTCTATCATCTTTCACTTATTTGTGGCTCTTGGCTTTCACTCTTTTTCCCCATTTACCTGTCCTCTTCCCTTTCTTCCCTCTCAAACAGAGGTTCTGCAATTCAGCTACACAGATACTTGATCAAGCATCTAGAACGTACATATTTTAATCCAGGCCTTTTCACAAGACTTTAAGTCAGCTTTGCCACTAGAGAGAGTAATTTCTAACCTTAGTCAGCAAAATTTTGGTACTGTATAATTCAAATCCTTTCTATGGGTTTTTTGCAGTTACTGTTTCTGCAAATATGTGCTTATCTATATATATATTAGACTTACATGCACTGCAAGGATTAGAAAGTATTGAGTAACTTCTGGAGACAGTTTTGAAAGCCAGTGGAGATGGTTCAGTCAAAACCAAGTCACAGTATCCCAAATTGATTATTGTTTCTTAAGGAAACCAGGGGGATGTTTTTTCGTTTGTGCTTTTTTGTGTGTGTGCGTCCTGCACACCTTATCTTTCCATGAACTCAAACAAATGCACTGCTGACTATAGCCAGGCACAACAGGCATTTCTGTGGATTTTTCTAAAAGATAATGAACACAGTCATGTTACATTGGGTAACACAACTTTTTGGGTAAGGCACATAAAAAAATGAGAAATACAGACAATGACACAGCATAATTAGGAATCTCTTGGACCATTATACTATGGCATAGGTTAAACCAAGTAGGAAATCTACACCTCTTTTGCAAGAAGGATTGCATAGTCTTCTCATGCCTCTTGTAAGGAGACCTAAGGGACGAAGCGGGGTCTGGTTGTCTGCTTGGTGTGAGAAAAGTCTAGCTAAAATTTTCAGGCCCCAGATTAAGACAGATGAGCAGCTGTAGAGTGGGCCAGGGAGATTAATTTTCTACAGTGTGAGTAGAAATCGGATTATCATAATTACAAAGCATATAGGTGACTCCTCTAATGATGTAAAAGACATTTGGGGAAGGGGGGGGTTAAAAAATTTCCCAGCAGCCTCCTAGGGCTGTATCAGCATTTATGTTGTTCTGCAGGCTACTTATTGTCTAAGAAAAGATAAGAGAAACTCACTTGGTCCTGAACTCTGTTGTACATTTTTAGCATATTTCTCACCTAAGAAAATTTCCAGAGCAGCAGCCCTTAAGTCCCCTGACACACACATTTATCCAGGATTGAGTGATACGGGCGGCACCTCCCCAACATTCAGCAGGTCAGTCTCTAAAAGAAGAAAATACTGCTGTTATCACGCTCCTTCTCTTAAGATAAGCACTACAGCAGTGGAGAAGGGATTTGCACTCAATTGAATGTTCTTGAAGTCTGCAAAACTTGTTTTACATACAAGATTTCGGGGAACAGCCAGCAAGAACTAATAGTGTTGAGAGGGACGGATGGCATTGGCTTTGTTCACTTTAGCTCATAGCTGGAGCCCAGAGTGTTCTAAATTTACGTGTTTATACTAACTGTGTGGTACATGGGGAGGTGGAGAGAGCCACTCAGGACATGTGTATGGAAGTTGTTTTAAGTTGCCTCCTGCTGGGTACCATGTGGAAAGCACTGCTGGAAAAGGCAGGTCTCAGTAGACAACATGGAGTTTTCTGATACCAGGTGACTCTGAGCAGGCAATAACGCTGCCATGGATGCCCTGGGCTCTAGATACAATTAACATTGTGTCACAGAGCATACACATCTTGATTTGGCCTTGTGTATGATTTCTCAACAGGTTTCTGCTCAAGCTGTACAGGGTAGTACAAGTAATGTGAGTACAAGGGGCACTGGAGAGCACTTGTCCCCTCCGAACCTGGCAGGCCTCACTTCATCAGGATTTACGGAGCTGTGCCGTACATTACAGCATACTTGTGCTGCTTTAATACCACCACTATCTGCTCAAATGTGCCCTGCTACGGTACGCTTAGGTGGGCTTTTGACTTGTAAGAGCAGCCCAGCCAGTGTAGTAAGAGCACTGCTTAAGAGCTCTCTTTTTAATTCCAGTCCTACTGGTGAAGAGTTGAACCGAAGCAGGGATATACAATGTGTCCTCCCCACTTTGACTCAAATGCCCTCTGCTTTACCCCTAATGCCTCCAAGATATGACAACTGTTTAGAGAAACATGAAATAGAAAAACTATAAACTCAGGAATGTACAGGATATAGAGAGAACTGCAACATAAACACAAAATCCCTCTGCTTGGCAGCTGGTACTAATGCATTGAATTTTGAAAGCCTATAGTATAATTCCTTGCAAATGCATAGCCTGAATACTTAATTAAATATAGGTTTTAATTAAGGACAAATAAAAACCAAGCCCAAAATCCCATATCTTGATGCTGGCAGTGTGGCATATTACAATGTCATGGCAGTTACAGGTGCATAGCTCCTGAATGATGCAAATACTTAAGACAGTAGATGGAAATTATGTCACATTCTACTTCCATGAAGTACGCTTGAGAAAGCAAAGAGGTCCAGGACTTTAAATAAATGCTTTAGTTCACTATCAGCTCTGCAATCTGATTTAGGCAGATTCAATTTTTATTTAAACAAGCACTAAATTCTACAAGTGAGATTCTTTTCTGTGCCAGACCACCATCCAGGCTGAAAAAGGGCTGGAGTAATTTTAAAATGTCTTTCAGCTTGGGTAGGTCTGGTAACCTGTGATTCCTTAGCTAATCTTAAGAAGCTGACAGTCACCCTCCTGCCTCTTCTCCACTCTGGCCTACTCTGGCCTCTTTACCACCCACTCCATCAGCAAACGCCCAGACAGCACGAGCACCCCCGTCTCTCACGGTTGGCAAGAGAGCTCCTCACAGATTTTTTTTTCCCCAAATCTATGGGTTTTT